TATTTATTTATATATAAATGAAAATATTAATATATATAAACATATATGTAAATATATATATATATAGATATAAAAAATATATAAAAATAATATATATATATATAATATATATATATATAAATATAAATAAATATATATATATATAAATAATATATATAAATATACATATACATAAATAATAATAATAACAATAATATATATATATATATATGTTGGGTCAAATTTGTGTGGAGGTTGAAAAATACAAGGGGGAGTCTTTATGGCCCAAAATAGTTATTTTAGACCACATTGGTAATGTAATTCGACAGGCAAATTACAGTAATATTTTTAGCAAATTTCTTTGAAAAATAGGGCCTAGGCCTAGCTAGGTATACAGTAATTTCATTTTACAGTAGTTTGGAATGATATCAGGAGTGGGGGTGGTGGCAGTGCCCTACTAGGACTACAATGTATTTGAATCTATCTTGGGTCCGATAGTCCACACCAGTTAGGCTCAATCGTCTGTCACCCAAAGTTTTCATTACGATGATTAAGAACGTATACTATCTAGGCCCTAGGCTAGGCTTAGATTGCTGCTGTCACTCTGCTACGTATACTACTACCGCATAACAAAGAAAGCGACCCACGCGGTGCATTCTTAAATTTTACACACATTATTAAAATGTATTAGACGATAACATGATATCACTGAATGAATGATCTACCACCCTCGCATCGCAGTAACTACTGTACTGAACTAGGCTTAGCTTTTAGGCCTCATGTTTTTGTGGAAAGTTAGACAGTCGTTATGTACCCGACAGTCGGCTGCCTTTATATCTTCACTTGTCTTCAATTTGCATTCAAAGGGTACATTGCTACATAGCCAACTCTTGGGGATATAGTACCTTCATATGAGTACTCGTACAACAGAAAAAAACGTCGCATGGAGTTAGTGAAAAATGGAGATCTAAATGAAAAAAACGATGTATTTCAGCAAGTATTAAAACCTTTTTGTTTTATTTTAGGCCTTCTTCAAAATACCTATGCCACAGCAGTTGATTTTTTTTTTGCCGTAAAACCAAAATAGTTTCATCCATGCCGACTTGCCGATCGCTTATCGTGAGCCCTGATTGAACAGAAATTTCACATCGAACTTCTCATCGCGAGGTAAAACAAAATGTCGGAAAACTTTTCTTTGACGCATGCGCATTTGCATAAATGTCTACACACACACGCACACACATACTACACACAATAAAAAACAAAGGAAAAAGAAGAGTGATTACAATAGTTCCTATTGCATTGCATGCATAGGAACTAAAAATCACACAGAAATAATTTCTACACAAATACTGTAAAGTAATTTTATTAAAGTTTATATATAATGTAAAACCCCTTCCTCTAAAAAATATGCTTCATAAAACATGGCTGTTGTAGGCAGACGAAAGTAGCTAGTACTGGTTTACCGGGTAGCTAGTACTGGTTTACCGGGTAGAGACCCATTAGGGGAGAAGAAAGAAAGTTACTGTATGAGCTAGTCCACACCTCAAGCGCTTTGAGACTTTGGTATAAAGCGCTATATAAATCTAATTACATTACATTAAATGTACAAATTGTTTTTATACAATGTCTCCATACTCCTATATATACACTAAAAATTTATAAAATATACAGCTGGATTTTTAAAACAATATCACTTATTGCGCAAATTGTTGTACAGGGCCAACTGTATCCTGAAGAGACAAGTATTGTAGCGCCTTGCCAGGGAAATGATACAATCTGTGTATCCGAGTATATTTTGAGAAACCTCAAAGCAAAAATATTTGTCTGAAACACTACAATAAGGTAAATAAATTAACATGGGCTTGTGGAATAAAGATGGCCAACAGATTCAAGTCCATGATATTTTTGTTGAGGGCCTTGAATAGTCAGCTCAGTGTTGAAGCTAAAAGAATTATTCTCTTAAAAACATTGCTGAATAAAATCAATCTTTGATTATTGAATTTTCAATTTTTGTGTGAACTCTTTTCTTGTGTTTAATTGGATCCATAACAGTATAGTTTTTACGACAACACTGATGAATGCACAGCCATAATGTTTCAGTCATTTTGACAGCAACATCTTCCAGAAATCCTTAACACCAAATTATCTTGTCATAGTCAATAAAATGCATCAGGATACAGGAATGGTAAAGTCTCTGCTATTAGCGGCCAGTGCTAGTAAGTGTGGAGTAACCTGGAAAATAAAAAATAAAAAGGTTATACAGCAGTTACATTTCTGGGAGTTTTCATGTGACTAAAAACTACACTAAAATCCTGTCCCGACTACCAAATTTTATTTGACAAAAATACTGTTGTATGCCCATATATAGTCATGATGTGCCCATATATAGTCATGATGTGATGTCATCATGACCATATTTAGGCATGTCCAATGTTTTTGATAGTCTTGACAGCTTAAAGCTGCCCAAAGAATATAAAATTTGTTTAGTTTGTCACATAATAAAGACCGTCTTTACAAGTCTCTTTGAAGTTGGGGGGGGTGGGGGAAGATGGAAAAATCTTCACCCTGAAGTGTACTGGCATTGGGTATCACCACACACAGCAAAAAAAAAAAAAAAAGATTCTAATGTCTTAATGAACCTTAACAACCGACCAATCCGAGCAGGGCAAGGAATACCAGCATATTCTATAAATGTACATGTTTATAGGCTACTGTTGTTTTGTGGGACCTTTAGCAACAACATCGAGGGGTGGATCTGTAATTTTTTTAATGAGGGGGCACAAATTTCAAACATGCCTAGATGTAATCAGATAAATAAATATCCAATAATGATATGATTTGTGTTCAGTATATGCTATTAGGAAATATTGTAACATTTAGTAGTGGTTGGACCATTTAATATTTTTTCTGATGGCAGTGGCAAAACCGGTGGAACATTCCATCCCCCACCCCCCTGCCCTCTCCGACCCTGATAACCATTTTGATTGAACCTGCCTGACAAACGTGGAACACACATGCTCTTTCATCATATTGGCTGAATAACGTTAGAGAGCTCCATAGTTTGACAAATCCACTTGAATTGACTCTCAGAATACCTTCCATCTTCTTTTGATCATACTGAAGGAGATCGACAGCAGCAGCAGCATGTCCGTGAAGCTCAGTCACAGCTTTGGTTACCATGCTCTTTAGCATCATGGCGTCAACAAGTGGAGATGCGACTTCATATTGCCTGTGAACAACAATGTAATATTAGAGTACGAGTAGAATAAAGAGTGAGAAAATACAGTAATTCTGACTTAATTTTGGGTATGGGCATGGTCCGTGACTACCTAATAGCCGTAAATAGGTGCTTCATGGTAGATACATGTTCACATCATTCCACAACGACGGGCTGAAATGAACCATAATATCGGGGTAACTCCCTACTCTTCCGAAAGATGCAATGGGTTCTTTAAAGTGCACATGAGCCAGATGTATACACTGGACCTCCACTTTAAGTCCTTATCCGAGAAGACATGGTTCTACCAACCAAACCATGGGTGAGGAGCGGCTAGAACAAACGCCGATGTTAAGGCTGTAGCTAGCAGCGCCCCTGCCTTACCGTTCTGCCACTCGACTCACCCAATATCATGGGGAATCTGCAGTTTCCTGCACTGCAGAGTGCAAGCTGTCCACAACCTAACCCATCTCCTGAAAATCAGAATGTTGTTGCTGTGTTATTTGTATGCCTTAATGAAGTTAGTTGGCCAAAGTCAAAGTCAAAGTAAAACTTTATTCATCCTTCAACGAAGGAAACTGAATGCTCACATAAAACTTTTAAAAAACAATGTACAATCACATAAAAAAAATATTCATAAAATTAACGTTTAAAATGTGCATTAAAAAGTTTAATCCCAGCAGGAATAAATGAACAGGAATAACGATTGGTGTGGACAATAGGAGACCTCAGCCTACCACTTCGCTGAAAGACGACATATTGATGGAGTGGATTGGCGATAGATCTCGTCAGCAAATTTAATAACAGGGCACATACAATGTGCTGATCTATAGTCAGCCGTGTAAAGGCTAAATAAAAAGGGGGCAAGTACAGTTCCCTGAGGAGCGCCCGTATTGGACCTAATTGTATTTGACTTTACGTCTTTATCTAACTTTACGAACTGAGAACGATTAATCAAAAAATCAAAAACTAAGGAGATTAAGGGAAAAGGAATATTCATGCGATCTAATTTGTCAAATAAAAGATGAGGTTGAATTGTATTAAATGCAGATGAAAAATCATAATACATAATTCGAGCACAATAAGTCAGTGGGTTAAGGCATCTGCATAGACAGCAGGTCTTTGGTTCCCATCCTGGTTAACTTTTTATCACGCATGCAGATTCATCTTCTATCTGTTGAGGCGAATAAATGAATTGAATTGATTTGAACGTTCCAAAATTTATTTATAATTTAACTGCAAGACAGTTGCTAACTGTGTTAGAGTCCATCTCTATTTCATAATAATAATATCGTGATTTATATACATTATACGTCAATATTTCCTCAAAAAATACAAAGCCGAGGAAGAATAAAGTTCTTATACAATGTATAGCAGCCCCAAACAACTAAAAATAACAATTTGATATGAAATGGAATCAAGTCCTACTACTAGTACCAACAACACACTGCTACTAAGTACAGTACCAGCACTTACAGCTTGAATTTGATGTAAAACTGTTCAGCACGTTTACTAACAACACGTGTGTATGGTGAATCGCAGAGTTTACTGGTTTCCTGTGACATTTTGCAATCTATAAACTATGGAGAAACATTAATAATTGTTCGGCAGACGATTGCTTCCTTATATTGAGGAGTAAAGACAAAAAAAGGATCAGAAGTGAGTCCAGATCTACAACTTCATGCTCCCAATGTTTACAATTATTTTGGCAATACTAACAGCGCCCTCTTCTAAGAGGAAACAAACACAACACATGAACGAAAGAAACGACGACGCAAGGTTGGCAGTCGAGTGTTTTTACTGGATATTGTTCAGGTTTCAAGCGGAGGATTTACTCAAATATATGTGTAGAAGATTAAGTAACATAGTAGGGCCATTTAGCTATATGTAAGTATCGATTTTGGCTTATCCTTAAACGTCTGGTTAATTGATGTAAACCATAAATTTCCATTTGGCTAGGCCTCTGCCTATCCAGGACATTTGGCTAGACCCTATTTTTTGTGCGTCGTTAGGGGGCCGGGGCGGTCAGATTCTCGTAATTGATGTTGTTTGGACGTGTGGACCCAGGCTAGCGCTGACCCATGCATGCACGAAATATACACTTACTACAGTTATATTTTTACTGTTACATGCATATCTATTAATTAACATATTGCCAAAAAATAAATTGTGCCTCTCTGATCATAGAGTCAAGTAAATGTAAGATTTATAATTTATATAAAATTAATTATTGTTATTAAAAGAATCTATAAAACCATTGTAAAAAATAAAAAGGGCGCTTGATAAACTAACTTTTGGAAAAGATGATCTGATGTTCAGTAGTAAACTAATATAACTATGTACTGCTTTCCAATGTAAAAAAGCAAGGTGATATATGGTAAACTTCTCATATATTCTCTAGTTGGCTTTGTTGTGAATACTGCTATTATGTTTTTTTCATAACAACCAGGATCGATTGTTAAGAGCAAAAAAATGTCGCTTTACGATGGCTTAGGTGTTGATCTAGGTCCGAAGAAGGAAAAAACCCATGATGGGAAGAAGTCTGATGTCTGTAAGTTGTACTGATTAGTAATAATGAGTGTTATAAGAAAGTTTGATTTAGATAACTTTTGTACATGGATATTATTTCCTTCATTTGTAACTCATTAGAGTTGTGTTGTGTTTGACTCTTGAATGAAATATATAATAATAATTTATATATTTATATATATTTATATCTTTTACACATTTACTTAATAATAATGGTATTTGAAAATGTTGTTATCCTGTGTTCTGTGGTTGCTTGCACAGCAAATGATACATTGGCACCTATGGACCTCTTTTGATGTAAATTGACAGGATTTAAAGTTCCAGATATTTTCTCTAAGATTTATTTTCTGTTGAAATTTAGCGGGATGGTCAGCTGGGATTCGGATGATGCAATCCCAGCTGAGGTTAAAGAAGGCTGCATTGACTGAAACTCAGAGGAAAATACGGTCAGCTACATTGGCACCGGTCGTAGATCTTAAAGGGCAGAGCATCGGGTTAGTAGAGGAAGGCATGGCAGTATCACCCCCTGTTGCTCCATCATTTACCCCTTCAAAGGTAGCCTGAATTATTTGTTTCTCTTTTGCTATGGTATCTCTTATAGAGGGAGGATATTGTCTCTACTCAATCAGGATGGACACAAACAAAACTGATTTTCAATTGAAAGTTAACTTCTTTAATAACTTTAAAGTTATTCACAGCTAAAAACAACACTACTGCCTAAGCCTCATAAAGAGTCTTCGTTGATAAAAGTATGTTATTTCATTTATTTTAGAGGGCCCTGAATATCAGCCAACCTATTAGAATACACTTAAAGGGTCACTCTTTATAAATAGGGTTTTAAAAAATCAGTTGCATGTTCCTCAAGATTTTTTTTCATGGTGACTCTGGTTTGCGTGCCAGTTACTGTATGTTTTACCTGTTGGGCCATGTGGCCGTGTATTCAATTTTTGAATAAAGTGTGCCTAAATACAAAAAATAAATAAATTAAGAAACAGGACAGTCTGAAATACTGCATGCATTAAAAAAAAAAATCAGAAATAACATCAAGAAAAAATACAAATGCCAGTAATTAAATATACAAAACCAAAAACTGGAATCTATCAAAACATTGCAGGAAACAACATATTGTTTGTTTCAATTTATTAATATATTTGCTCAAAAATGCCTTGGGATTTCTGACCCAATAGATGAGCCATTTAATTCAATACAATCTATTTATTCATTATACAAATATGATTATTGTCTCACTGTAGTTCTCTAATAATTAAAAATTTAAATTTCTCGTTTTTTAATTATTAACATTAATATTATTATTACTGTTGTTTATATTGAATTACTAATTGAGGAACTTTGCTTTTCAGCATTCTCAGCCAATATTTACAGGTGATAGAATAGATGTTATGGGAAGTGATATTGGAAATGAGTACGACCCTGCATATCCAAATGAATATGAGAAAGTAGTTAAAAAAATGCGAGAAAAACGTCAAAAAGAACGACAGCTGGAAAGAGAAAAGGACATTGAAGAAAGGTATGTTAGACAAATGCGTGCAGTCCAAGATATTTAAGAAATAATGTACTATTTTCTGACTTTTATTTGTTAAATCATCTTTAATTGTGATTTGTATTGGTGTATGTGTTTGAGTACCATAATTCAAGATGTGTTATATTTGAATTTTAGGAGAAAACGGAGGGAACGGGAGAGAGAACGTGATCGTGATCGGAATAGAGACCGAGAAAAGCGTGACCGTTCACCTCAAGGATTCTCCAGAAGACCAGCAGACAGCGATGAAGAGGAAGATGATGAGCGTGACAAACAAAAAAGGAGAAGTAGGGGTTTTGGGACAGTTATTATTATTTCAGTCATATCTTTTTATGCTATGTTAAGACATCTATTCATATCATAATATTAACGTGGTCAGAGAACAACTAAGAATTCTCACTAAAAATATAATATTTTTGTTATTTTTTTTAGGTGCTGGGGCCTGTGCTATGATTGCTCCACCATCGAGCTTGATCAATGAAGATGCACAACCTACAGAGGAAGAGTGTAAGTTATCAGTAAATTTAATTTTAATGTTTTAACAGATGATAATGGTATTCCATTTAAAGTATTTTTTTTTTTTACCTAAATCTGACATGTTGGCGCACGGATAATAATTATTCTGTACATATGGAAAAAATGTAATTCAGGTGGAAACCAAACTCGCAAATTCAGAGGTACAGGCCCGGTGTCATACCACTTGACAATGATGGCTGAAATTGGACTCCTGAATTGTAGCAAATATTGCAAATGTAAATAGTAGTTTATACTGTATAAACATAATTATATTAATTAGCAATAATTATGCTGATAAAAATAATAATTATTATTTTGTAAATACTAAGATGTTGGTGTTAATAATTTTAGGATGAGTGATGTTGATGTTAGAACTTTGAGGTTGTAATTGTAATCCGTCTGTGTACAGTTAAACTTGACTAAGTCGACTTTGCCTAACTCGAATAATTTCTAAATCGATCTTATTTTACATGCCAAATTGTTGTGTTTTCCATTAATTAACAAACTGGAAGTCAAATTTTATCTAAGTCGAACAATTTTTCAATGGCATTTTGGATTCGACTTAGGCAAGTTCAACTGTATTTCGCTTGTGTCCATGAGCAAGGCACCTATTCTGCATTACTCCTTACTACCCACGAGTATAAATGGGTACTTGGTGGGGTTACCTTCTCCTTCACAGATTACAGCAGCAACAGTTCATGTGTACACAATTTCTGGGGAAAAAAACAAATAAAAAAGACAAATAAATAAATTTTTAAAAATAACAATGCAAAATTTTATTAGACTCAGTAATACTAAAATCATTTTTTTTATCGTACCAAAAAAAAAAAAACAAATGAAAAAAAAAAAACCCAGATAACATTTGTCAGGAAATGTCTTAATTTCTGTATCCAATTGAAAATGTGTTTTTGGTTCTTTGGTTACCAGTAAAAGCACCAATGTTACCACCACCACCATCGTCAACACGGCCAAAAAACTTTGGTGACATCATTAAGAAAAATAAATCAAACCAGGAGGAGTTGCATCCTGAAAGGTCGACAACACCACCTCCAGGCAGTGAATTTGAGGATCTAGATCTTCTTCCAAATGCCTCCAAGATACAAAACTTCCAGCCTCCAGTTGGTTTAGGGTGAGAATCTCTTTTTAAGTGTTTTGTAAGGAAGGTTCCCAGAGTGAAAAAAAAATGATTTAAAATCAGAAGTCTAAATATCTGGCCTGTGTGCACCCATTTTGTTGTAGAGTGATATGAACCTTAAACTACAAAGTGACTTTTCTGGCTGCTACAGTATTTAGGATCAAGCTTACACACAATTAAGCACAATGATGCTGTGATTTGTTGGTTTTTCTCCTACATTTACCTTGCATTTAAATGTCTTTAAATTTTTTGTATTTCCTATCTGTGTATTCACTGGCCACTATTTTCTCCCCCCATCTATACTCAGAGCTGCATCTGTTGCTGCTAAAATTATGGCTAAGTATGGATTTAAAGAAGGTAGAGGTTTAGGCAAGTCTGAGCAAGGAATAAGTACAGCATTGTCAGTGGAGAAAACAAGTAAAAGAGGAGGCAAGATCATTGATGCCTCAAAGTCAGGTACCGTAGCTTAATTATCTATTAACATCATTTTTATTTCAACATAAAGTGGCTCGTCACTGGACAAAATAAACTCTGTAATTATCTATAACTACAATCAAAACATGTTCTCTATAATTTCTACTTTGCTTACTAATTTAAAATAATCTTGGATTGTAAGGCAGACATCTTAATAACCACACATCTATGTGATTAATTATATATATTATAACTTTAATTATTATTATTTTTAGTATTGATATTTGTATTTCTTTATTACAGAGCCTTTGCCTCAATTTCCGTTACCAAATATTCCTAGGCAACAAACTACAAACATGCCATCTTTGTTAAAAAATCCTACAAAAGTTGTGTTGCTCATGGTAAGTACCGTAACAATAATAAGAGTTATATTAATAATAATGATAATGATCATAATGATAATAAAAATAATAAAGATGATAAATGAAGCATGTTTAGTAACTGTCGAGCTTGTGGCAAAGTAGTAAGAGTTTGTTTGAGATTAACCATTTGTTTGTGCATCGCTGCCAACAGATCCAATGACCCAATAATTAAAGCACCTCTGAAAAAGGAAGTTTTAATTGAATTCCCAGTTAAAGTACATATCCTTTCTTCATATTGAGACACCACAGTCTTTAACAAATGTTGTTATTACCAATAAATTTACATCTGTGGCTTTGGTAGAACATGGTTGGACCAGGGGAAGTTGACGAAGATCTTGAACCCGAGACGGCTGAGGAATGTTCAAAGTACGGACCAGTTACCAAGGTGGTAATTTACGAGGTAAGATAAATGAACCTGAAATGTCAGTGAAATTGTGTGAGGCAGCTGAGATGCATAGCAAATGTTGTGTATTTCTTGTTCAACATGGTAGTGTAGATGAGGCGCAGACCAGAGCAGATTGCTATAAATCAGTCTTAACTGGTAGTCTTAACTCCTCGAATAATGCCGGCTTTATCATTTAGACAGCCTTACTAAAGTCACTCTGCTAAGACCATTGCTATTAAACGGTCTTCAATTAGACCGCTTTGAGTATTGAAATGCAAACGAGCACTCTCTGGTAACATGAAATTGAGGGTGCTGTTACGCTCGCTCAAAACATGCATATTTATCAAAATGAACGGAAATAAACTTAGACCGGTTTTTTATAGACGCTGAGAAGCTTGCATAATATTCATCTTTCGATTCTTGGTCTTTGAGGAACTAGGCCTAGGTCTAGTACCTGTAACGCCATGATGAAAATGATTTAAGATCGTTTTAAGCCTCCTACGAGTAGGCTTTAAAATTTAGGAGGCTAACTGGTTAGACCGCAGTGAAGCAATGGTCTATAATCATAGACCAGTAGTGAGGTCACAATTATAGCCGGCTAAGACCATCTAAAGACTGCTTATAGCAATTTGCCCCAAGAACTTAAGCAAAGTACTGGACTGTGAACAGACATTACTAACTGATCAATAAACATGCTTAAAAAATATTGTAATAATGTTTTATACATTTGACAGGAACCAGACAAGGTAGAAGAAGAGGCTGTGAGAATATTTGTTGAATTTGCTAGAATGGAATCAGCCATCAAAGGTATGTTCTTTTGTAAAATGCTTTAACATTAGTAATTACTAAATAATTATAGTATGTCTATCATATAAATCATGATAATACCAAGGAATTGATGTGCTTCAAATTATTTGAGAATTTGTAATCTAAAGCAGTGATTACTAGCTGCGACATTACAAAATAATCCTTAAGGTCATAAGTAGCTAGTCTTGAAATGGGGGCTGATAAGTTTGGGGTGCAACAGGGAAGTGTGGTGGTAGGGGCCTCAATGATTAAGTGAGAGGGCACTAGCTCGCAAACCCAGGTGATATGAGGTGATTTTTAACTACTTGAGCTTGATTTTGTTGCTTCTTACGTTTTCAAAGGGGGAGGTGACTAGGGTGCAAGCTTTTTATTGTTTTGGGGTGGGGGTGTGACCCCCCCCCATGCACCCCCTAGATATGCCACTGATTTTAAGCCATTGATCTTGTGTGCAAGCATTTGCATATAATATATTAAATTCTGTCAAAAATGAATTATATAGATGTTTGTTTTTGCTTTTTCTACAGCTGTTGTAGACTTAAATGGAAGATATTTTGGTGGTAGAGTTGTAAAAGCATCTTTCTATTCTGTGGAGAAATACAAAGGTTACCAGTTAAATGAATGACCAGTGTTAGCATACTGTACAGACTAAGGGAACATGGATACTATTACGGAGGACCCTTGCCAGGCTAAAGCCGGGCACACACTCTGCACGATGGTCATCGGTCGACGCGACTACATTGAGAATGCAATGACACAATGCAGACGCAACAGATCATTTTTAATGACGATCCATTCAGACTGCCACCAACAATCAGCAGATCGTGTCCCTTCTAAAGTTCACAGGAAGTAAGTTGGATTCGTTAGCCGACGGTCGTACAGTGAGTGCCCATCTTTACAGGACATTGAAGGCTTGACTGAATGCCAGTGTACTTGATAAGGAATATTTGAAAGCTAAGCTGAATGACTCATTCTAACATAGGGCTCGTTCATACTTACAATTTAGGCGATGAAGATTACTGCTAATCCACTTAAATATGTTCCCCGAATCGTGATTTGTTGAAAAGACCTTAAAAAATCCAACACACCAAACTTAGCGATTAAACAGCATCTGTAGGCATCCATCAGCACAATAAATCTTCTTCAGCGCATCAAATCTGTGTTAATTACGCGATAAATTTGACAAGTATGAACGCCTAGAAAATCTACGCCTAAAACATGAAAAAACAGAGTATGAACACAGCCATAGAGGCTATAGAAACATTTATAGCTTGATCAAAGAACTCGTATGAGCATTTAGACTTAAAACTATCAATAGCTTCATTGAATAAACCTAAGCCAGTGTACAGATTCAATGAAGCCCTCATGCTAATAAGACTTTTTTGCAAGATGTTATCTCATCATCCCAGGCCGTTGAGTATATCATCTAACTGTTGATTTGCATTGTCCAATCAATGGAACAAATTGCAATTGGATTTAGTAGTGATTTTTTTTTTTTTTTTTTGGAAAGTATGTTACAACCATTTGCAATAATTATTAGTAGCGATAATCAGAAATATTGTGGGTTTTTCACACAGGCTTCAGCAGAGCATTGGTATATAACCATTATAGATCTCTGTGTGGATCTGTATTCTATAGATACAGTAATGTATTTTACTTCTAATCAACTACTAATTTTATAATAAAATTTGTATTTGAAAATTGGCATAACAATCCCAGAAAGGCAAACATGAGGTATTAACCAATTGTTAAGTTTTGAGGCCCTGTTGAAAAGTAGAAGCCTTAAAAGCCATTATTTTCTTTCAAAAATTTCCTTAGGGCCCAAGGTCTCTATATAGCCTGCTACCTTCGCATGGCTTGCCTTATTCTTTACGGTGTAATTAAGCAGGGTTGTTTGATCTTTCTGCACATCAGCCGCAAATAAGACCAGTCATTATAGCAAATTAGTGACTGCTCTGATGATATAGGAAAATTAATGTGGAAGGTAGAGTAAAATGGTGACATTGAGATTCAATAATTTTTATATAGTAGGATCATGACTATTATGCCTAATTAATATTGTTTGCAAACTGGATGCTAATGCTGTGTTGAACAAAATATAAAATTGTATTTTACCTACCTCTTGGTGTTAGTGGTTTAAAATTAATATTGATAAACCTAATAGCAGAATGAGATTGTTTTACTGTCAATTCTCTAATAAAAACAAAGCAATGGAAAATGATGTGCTGTGTGTTCTTAAAAGTTATATTCTCTCTATTGATATACTGTAGTGGGTATTCAGTATATATAGTTTGCCAGTAGTGTATCTATAAGTGTTGACAGGTGGTGGTAATGATAGTGGCAGGCACAAAGGTTAAGTGGGTGATTCTATGACTGAGTGAGGAATATCAGCAACTTGAGTGCAATTCTTTTGCCCGGCAACTTTCCAGTCGGGTGAGTAATAGGAGGGGCGTACATCCTTCAATTCCCCATAGCAATGCCACTGATATAATTGCTTGCTTTACGAACTTCCATCTATAATCCTCACATCCAAATCCTTTATTTGACTAGCAGACATTAATGTTCAAAGGAATTTCGGGTACAGTATTATTACACTGCAGTATGTATAGTAACATTTTTATTATCTCTGAGCTATGATTTATAGCACATAACAGTGATAAATAAGAACACCCTAACCCTAATAACAAATTGCCATTAAATGCTTCTTTTAAATACTCACATAGTGCTGTAATTTTTTTTTATAAACAGTATAGTGTTCTTATCTTGGTAAAGTTAATAAAAATGCTTTTACTGTATTTAATTTCTCACACAATAAAAAATGTTATCACATGCAATGTATTACCGTGATAATATTACTTTTTTAAACAAATAAAAGTTTTATCCCGTACAAGAAAATGGTACGCTCCAAATCTCAAATTTATGAATGGATTGCCGGTCTGGAGTTCAAAGTTCAAGGAAATGTGATCCACAAAATCTAGGTCAGCATGCCGTGCTGCCGCCGCGCGGACGGACAAAGTGTTATTGTTGATTTGAAGTTAATGCGGTATTCAGGGTGTTAATTAAACAACGTTGTATGTTCTTACTTTTACAAGAACTAGAATCATGGCATTGATACTTAATAATTGCAGACATTTTGCTGAACGCTACGTTTCTTCAATACTGAATTTACGTATTCGTAGTATTTCTTGCAGTGCCGTAAATAATGAACGGGACAGCATTCATCGTTCAACAGCAAACAGCCAATTGCTCTACGTAAACCAAGGAGCTCAAGCTCAGCTGGGCCGTCGTGCCTGGTCACTTCTCACTAGGCAAAGCCTGGGCAAGCAAGGCCTAGGTTATCGTAACTTCTCAACAACGCATGCAACTTTTCAACAGCCAGGAGTATCAAGCGCTTCTTTATTGAGCATGTCCCCTCAGAATTTCATTGACTATTTGAAATCTCAAAATATTAAACGACTTTATTTGGTGTTCGATCCTGAAGAGCAGACCGTGAGAGTTTCTCATCCAGATCTGGAGGAATTGAAAACATTTCTTCTAAATGACAAGGTTGATTTTGATGAACATGAAGGCGTTTTCATGCAGTTAGGAAAGAGGACAAACTGTCTACTCGGTGCTTTTATATGGCGTACAAACAGGGGGCAAGCGGTTAGTTTAGAATTGAGTGTTGTTATAATATTAATATTTATTTAATCGTACCTATTAAGGAACGGTAATGATTTGATTGTTGACAATGAAAAAGATAAAATAAAGATGTATTACTTGCATCACATACAGTAGCAGTGCTAGGGGAAAGGGCTTAGTTGGGGAGAAAAATATGGGACTCTAAAATTGTTTAATAAGCCATTGAAATACCTAAATCATTGGAGCTTTTGTGGGCTTTGCCCCAGACACTTTCCGAGGGGGTTGGTGTGAAATATTGTGAATTTTAGACTGTACCAGCCCACTCATTAGTAGTTTACATTTTTTTTTAAATGTATATACTGGTCGTGAAACAACAAACATTAAATAGTAAACATGCTGTATCTTTGATGAGATCTGTATAATCTTAAAAAGTATTAGTCAAAATAAAAATTTCATGTAGATTATTAGCTTTCCCAATAGAAAATTTAATTGTAAAAACAATTGAAACCCCTTTTAACAGCTGGAACATAGAGAAAATTGTTAGATTATCACTCCGGCCCGCCTAAAAATTTGGTAAATATTGATGCAGGAATAAATTTTTTTTTTTTTTTTTTGCCGCATAATTTATTTCAACAGCTTCAAAAAACAATGCAATTTTGTGACTGGAAATACAATTTCTTTAAAAAAAAACAATAAAATTAATCCAGTTTTTATACAATATTTACAATTTTCTTGCCAAATAAAAACAGTCCCTCCCTCATCAATAAAAAGAAAAGCAAAATTCTATTGTTCTGATTAAAAAAAAACCGCCCGCCTCATCACTTTTTTATTTTAAATATGGTGATTATCTAATAATTTTTTCTATGTGCCTGATATAATATACAGTTCCCAATCCTATTCTTAGCAAAGGTTAGTAATCAGTTTAAGAATTTTTGTTGTACTTAAAGTTTAAGGAAGTCTATGATGTTGTATGCTTGACATGTTTTGTTTGTAATTTTGGCCTTAATAATCATGTATAAAGGAAACACTTAAGCTGGTTGATCCACTGTCGTCAGTAGTATTAACCTTTTCAGCATATCAAGGTCAATGATGACTTTGGATAACTTTTTTAGTCAATGTTTGATTGACAGTGATCATCTTGGTATGTTTCAGAAGGGTAGAGACTGATGTCCCATAGGCTAAACAACTGAAGATGTTTACACTTTCAGCAAATGTGGATTAGTATTGGCTTACCTTTATAATCTTTATTAACTGCCATTTTAAGGATGATAAACTTAGTAAATTACTGTTTGATCTGTAATTTTTGGTGATGGAAAATTTCTTTTGTAACATTAGTTATATTAATTAGCATTTAAAAAGATATTTGGCAAAACTTATTTGCTAAATTAGAAAACAAAATTTAATTTTTATTTTTATAAAACCTTCCTCCGATAATCTTTAAAAAAATAAATGTGAAACAAGAAATAAAGAAAGTCTCACCTAATTTCTCAGTGGCTGCAAAGTATTTTTATGTTTATTAAAACATTAAATGAAATAAATAATTTATTTATTAAAATTACTTTTCACAGTGTGGAGGCATACGGTTGTGGGATTATTCTGACATGGAGGCCTACATAAGAGATGGACTACGACTTGGACAGGGCATGGGTGTCAAGTCCGCCCTTGCTGGTTTGTGGTAAGACAATGTAAACTAACCAAACAAAATTACATCAGAAAAAATATTGTATTGCACATTACAAATCTCATCTTTATATCCATAATTGTATTGAATGTAAACTACTACCGAAATTTTAGTAGCAGTGCCCAGAATCAGAGAACAAAAACATTAAGCCAATATGGTTGTTTTAAGTTAACATAAATTATTGTGCTGTAGGTTACTCATACCGTTCATGTAACACTAGTAAATATAAACTAATCAAAAAAATTGTTTTGCTAAGGTAAGGAACTTAGAGACCAAATGAGGGGTCTAAATTAATGAATTAAGATTTACACTATTCATTGTTCAGTATCAGTATAATAAATATAATGATTTTAATTGATTTTTATATCATCTATGTCATGTCTTGTTGTAATTAAATGTTTAAAATGATTACATAAATACATTTGTGCTTAAAATGGGGATTGGCTCTGTATACTTGTGATAATATTCTACCTTTACCTTTAATGCATTAACTTTTTTTTTTCTGTCTCAAAAGGGGATCAGCTTATAATTTTATATGCAAAATCATGCTATTTTTTTAGGTTGATTACTATGCTAATTTTTTGTCTGCTCCTTAAAATCACATTGGGAAGAATATTAATGACTATTACCTTGTATTACAGTCTAAGTGTGCTTTGTAAGCTTAGCATGTACTTTTGGAGATGATGTTGTAAAGCATTGATATTGTTCATAATTATTGCTTCTAAAGAGGTCTCATTCATTTATTATACCGGTACTGCAAATTTCAAAATCCATTATTTTTTCAGCTTTTTTTCTTGTGAGCACATATATGAAAGCTTCGGAATTTGGGTTGTCATTGGCTTTTAAAACTCCAAATATTTATAATAATGTTTGTTTACATTGAAATTAAAAAGAAATTATATATATATTTATGGAATGTAAAGAACATCAATTCTTAATTTCATTTATGTTTGTTATAGTAAATTACAATTTAGATGTAGCAGACAAAAGTATCTAATTATTAATCATAAAATTTATGGAGCTCTCATACACTCAATAACAGCATATTCATAGATTGACATCAACATTATAATTATAGCATATTATTGTTAACGACCGAAAAAGCACTGTGACATTACAGAGTGGTACTTAGTCAAGGGATGCTTATTACTAATTATTGAATTGTTAAAATGGTACCAAGTGATAGTGTTGTACACTAGGCCTTTTCTGTTTTTTTGCAACATTGTTTTTTAATACTAATAGTATTCAGAATATGATACATTATGTTATGTTTGGTTATGTTTTCTCAATTAAGCATCACAATGTTTAAAATAGGCCTCAATATGCATTCAAGGTTATAGCACTTAGCAAACAAAATCATGTTTTGGTGCAACTCTTACTTGAAAGCAGCATATAATTCCAGACAGGTGCTTATTTGGTCAGTCATAAATACATTAATTTATTATCCTCATTAAAGATTAACTCATAATTTGATAACAATATATAATAGTAAAATATAGTGCATCAATTCCAAGATATAGATCAAATGCACAAGATGATTGTTGACTGGTTTTAAGTGGCCACTGGTACCATTCATGACCATCATTCTGTTCCACAGGGCCGGTGGCGGTAAAGGCGTGGTCCAGGAGCCGCCATCTGACAACCACAAGGACCCAGACTTTCGCTCTTCTATGTTCTATGATTATGGAGAGTTTCTCTCCTCCCTCAATGGCTGCTATGGTAGAGTTATCCTCATTTTAAACTGCTCCTTATTTTCTTTAAATCTCATTTATTTATTTTCCTTTTCTCATATTTCTTTGTACTGTAGATTAGATGTACATTCATGTGCATAATTAAAAATTACGCCTCTTTGCTATTAATTTATACTAATAGTTTCTCTTAACCTGCAAGAAAAAATTATATTTTCTAGAAAGTATGTTTCTAAGTTCACCATATTAAAGTATATCTTAAGTTCCTTATCTTGTATGGATCTTTTTTGATCATTTATAGTGAATGAGTATTAGCAAAATGGTTGTAATGTTTCATCTGCTAAATTTCTTCAATTACTCGTTGATGATCATGTTTCTTGAGGCTTTTTAGATTGACCTTGGCCAATGTTTTATTCTGCATCAATATTGTTGGAACCCCTCGAATTTGCTATAGCTGAACACAATGTTTGAATTTATTTATTGAGCTTCTTGAAATTAAAAAGAAATGAATTTCCCCAGGGGGTTAAGTTGTTCAGCATTTAAAATATACTGATAGGTACCATTCCTCTCAATTGCAAACAACTAAAAAATATTGCCAGTGAACAAAAAATTATAGAAAGAAAAAGTTTATTAAAAATCTTATGTGGCCTAAAAAGTAAAATTTAAAATTCAGCATGTTTTTTTTTTTTTTGTTAATTCAGTTCAATAATATGTTTGTCATTTATACCACTGCAGTCATATCATATTTAGTCATTTATTATTTGGACATCTTCCACATCATTTAAAGACAGTTATTTTTAGCTCATTCCAATAATAACATGTATTATGTGCGGCCTATTTCATCTAGTTAGTTCCCAATTATGGAATGCTACAAAATGGCAGCTAGGAGGAATAAAATAAGAGAAAAACAATCTGAATAACTGCCAACCAATACCAGGCTATGCATAATTTAACATCCAATATAAATCCAGCTAATATTTTAAAACTTCAAAAGGGTAATTAAGCAGACACTAACAAAAATTCAAATGCTCTATAAATGCAGCTTTAAATTAACCAACTGTATCTGTTTTCATCTGCACTTTAATAATTAATTAATATGGCACTGAACGCTAAGAGAACAACCATTTAATGTTTGTCATTCTGTTTGTGTATATCTGTTTACGTTATTTATTTACTCTAATTCTGTCCTTTTTGAGGTATGGAGGCGGTATGGGTCTGGTTCCTGAACCACCAGATAAACAGCATCGGCAGCCTGAGTTTCGTACACAACTGTTTTACGACTTGGGCTGTTTTTTCTCTTCTCTTAATGGTTGCATTGGTATGTCATTGTGCACTGTGGCTATATATATGAATGTTTTCGCTAATATATGTTTATAACTTACTGGATTTTTATGGAATGAATGGTGGTATAGTATTTGTTTTCGAACACTAAACAACCTTTAAAAAAATGAATATGGACAAAATTCTTGTGAGTAAACCATTAAGTGTTTGTGACGTTTCAATGACTGGCTTGCTAGTATATTTAATGCTTTACTTACAAGAATTTTGTCCATGTTTGTACAGTATATCACAGAAACCAGATAAAATTATTTGAACTTCTTTCAAAAAATATTCAACAAAATGCATTTAAAATAAGCAAAACATTTTGTTTATTAGGTATGACCATACTATCATGCTTTCTGTGACAAGTATCTGTGATTTGTCCATATATGGTGTCATGACATAATTATGTCCTTATATGGAGAAATCACTCATATCTTGGAGAAAATTTGCAGTAAATAAAGACGTCAGAGTTATGGTTTAGGTGGAATCGAAATAGCAACCTTTTGGATGTGTGTTCTGGCACCATGTACCTGAACTACACTCCCTTAATCAAATTAAATTATTCAATTTTGGAATTTTTTTTATCTCGTTACTTACAGACAGTACATCTTTAACTACGAGCACTTTTATAATTATCTGAATCACTCCAAATAATGTCGGTTTTTAATGTAAACCCAAATAATCAACACTGAAACTAAAAATGATATTGTACAGAAAAAAAACATTTATTTTACAGGCAGATAAACATGCACTTTAAAAAAATGACTTGCAGGACTAATAGAATAACTAGCCTTTTGTATGGTGACCTTTCATAAATAATATTAATAAACATTGTAGTCTTTTTTGAGTTTGTACAGTGCACATAATATACACACTTGATTTGTGAATTTGCATGACAGTTAGTTGCAACAGTATTCATGTGGCTTGTCTTTTTATTGTGTTACTAAAACTGTAATTTTATGGGATGCTTTTAACCATTGTATTTATATTTTTCTTTTGTTTCTGTGGTTTATATGGTTAATTTTTTTTATATATAATAGTGTTCAAATATGACATACAATTGTGAGCTATAATACCCATTGGCAAAATCTATTTGGATAGGGAGAGGAGACTGGCACCTTTTGTCTAGAACCATTTTAGAATGCTAATGAAATTGAGTTTGGAATCCAGAAACGTTGTCAGATTCAGAACCTTTGACCTTGAAAACATTTACCACAACATCTTGAATTGCTGTTCTAATAGTTAATTCATAAATTATTAACAGAAGGGGGTTTTTGCAACCTTTAAAACATGAAGGTATAATATCAGATTGTTTAATGACATCTCCTTGTTTCCATGGTTCCTTTTTTTTTCATAATCTATTCAGAAATCTGGAATTAAAAAAGAATACATTTTTATATTAAATTAATACATGCATGATTTTCACCAGAACTGGTTTTGTTTTGTCCAGAATTCCAGAATTCTTGCAAGTTTTTTGTCAATGTTTTTGTCTTAAGATTCTTGTATTTTATTGTAGTTGCTGCAGAGGACGTTGGTTTGAATGTATCTGATTTGAACAATGTACATATGTTCACCAGGTACACAACGTGTATATCAGAGAATAAGGGCGGTTCCGGCAATCCTTCAATCGCTACCGGAAAGGGTTTGTAAATCTCTAAATTTTATTTATTCTCCAGAATTACTGTGGTAAAATCTTAAAAAAAACATAGACAGTATATAATATATTTTCTCCATGCTATGGTGTGCTGTAACAAAATTGCCTTCATATGCAATTGATTATCAACTGTTATGATCTGATAGATGATGCAATTAGCTAACCTACCTTTTTAAGCCCTGTTGCAGAAACACAAAGGCAAGCAGTTTGAATAGAATGAGGGACCAAGATGTCACAGCTCACTGAACATCTATTAGAAACTAAGTTAATCAACTTGTGAAAAAACATGTGAAATATGATATAGTTTAACAATGCTTGGATAATTTTAAATACCGGTACATATATTCTCGTGCTGGAAATTTGTTAAATAATTATGTGTATTGTTTGTAGGTGTTGTCTGTGCAATGGAGGGTGCTTTAGACTTTCTGAAAATGGGTGCCTTAGATGGAAAACGGATTGCAATACAGGGTGCTGGCAATGTTGGTAAGAATATTCATAACATGAATGATGAAATATATGTAATTTATATAATATAATATAATTATATGTATATAATAATTATAATATATAAATTACATATATATGTAATTTATATAATATAACGTAATTATATATATATGTATATGTATATATACATATATATACATATATACATACACACATATATATATATATATATATATATATATATATAAATGACGATGATATGATAGAGATGAATAGACGACACATTGTATCACTTGATGGTAAGTAAACTGTTGCTATGGTATGTTTAGACAGTAATATGTTACTGGACTCTCAGATATTTTATATTCTTGTTTCCTAGCAACTGTCATTGTTGAAGAGCTGCTACAGAAAGGTGTTTCGCACATTTATGTGACAGACTGTCACCAGATACGGGTGACAGATATGAAGAACAGATTCCATCCACAGGTGAGTAAGCAATCTCTTTATTTGCCATATGTGCCATCTCCTCATTGGCCAGGTGAGCTATCTTCCCATTGGCCAGGTGAGCCATCTTCTCATTAGGCAGGGGAGCCATTTTCCCATTGGCCAGGTGAGCCATCTTCTCATTAGGCAGGGGAGCCATCTTCACATTGGTCAGGTGAGCCATCTTCTCATTAGGCAGGGGAGACATCTTCTCATTAGGCAGGGGAGCCATCTTCCCATTGGCCAGGTGAGCCATCTTCTCATTAGGCAGGTGAGCCATCTACTCATTGGCCAGGTGGGCCATCTACTCATTAGGCAGGTGAGCCATCTACTCATTGGCCAGGTGGGCCATCTACTCATTGGCCAGGTGAGCCATGTACTCATTGTCCGGGTGAGCCATCTCTGGACTGTTGAACCATCACCTAACTGGCTAGGTAGGCCATCTCCTCTCATTGACCAGGTTTTACTATTAAAGACCATGGTTAAATACTATTTGCTATGAAAATGGGCATTCAAATGCACGACCAAAACATGCTAATTGAAAACTAATAAATTAATATAGCGTGCATTCGAAAGACAATACCAAATCTAACTTTGCTCAAGGAGTGTTATTTGCATTGGATTTTGTCTAGTCATGTTCTGACAGGTAATATATGCATGATTAGTTTAACCAAGAAATGTCTAATCCGAACAGAACTTCAAATTTATAGAGCGTAATTAGCAAGCATAGGTAATGTTGTGTGTGAAAAGCTAGATTGTAAATAGAGTGTGACTTGCATTACAGCTTGTCACTGATGGATGTAAATGAAGTAAAATATTTAGAAACTTTCTCTACGCCCCATTTAACACTATTAGCACTGTTGTGTAACCATTTGCATCCAGTAATTGTCAATGTACTCACTGTTTAATGAGCATAGAATTAATACTCAATATCACACCATGTATATTTTTTCCCCATTTCAGTATAGTGACGTATTACAAGTAGAGAAGGTTGACATTGATGATAATTCCGTAGCAGGATATCCATGTGACATTTTCTCGCCTTGTGCCCTTGGGAATGTAAGTTGTTGACACCTCATGTTAAGTGTAATATAATAAAGTACATAAATGATAAATATAATGTATATTTAACCAGTTTGCTCGCTGTCAGTGTTTTGCTGTTTGATTGGTATGGAATAAATTCAATGGAAATATAATTACGCATTTTATTTATGTTTTGTATTGTTTTTGTTGTAATATATATATATTTATAATTTTTTGTTTTATAGATTATAAGCAGTTGTGCCCTGTGACACCATGATGGAGTCAAAACGTTGTTCTTTTGTTTAGCATTATTTTTCTTTTTAGTGTATATTGACTTGTTTCACTATTTAAATTAATTAAGTAAATAAATTACTGTGTCTATTGTGGCAGGTTTTGAATAGTGACACTATTCCTATGATACAAGCAAAGATTGTCTGCGGTGCAGCAAACAACCAACTAGGATGTCGTGCAGACAATGAACTACTGAAAGAACGAGGCATCACTTATATTGTTGACTTCTTAGCTAATAGAATGGTAAAAATATGTCAAATTTATCAATTTATTTTGTAGTAGGCATTGGTAGTGGTAAAGTTATTTCCTTTAAAACAATGGGTGGGGGTCTCAGTTTGCTATTGACACTACTTCTGTCTGACCTTCGCCACTGATTGCCATCGTGATCACTGCCATCATCGTCTTTACTATCAAGAAATTATTCCATGGCAATGGTAGGCGAGAATCTTTTTTGAGTCCAGCCTGTTTCGTATTGATTTTGCCTGATGTTGAAACTTTATTCAAGCAGGCACTCCACATTCTGTGAATTTTATTTATTTATTTCAAACTTATTGTAAGAGGGTAACCCTTCCAGCTGAACCCACAGGCCAGCTAATATCCATTACAACAAATATGAACATACATATACTTAATCTACAAATAAAATATAATAAGGCTTACTATAATAATATTAAAGATATAAATTTAAACATTTGAAATAGAGGATTATATATTATGTGTTCATTTTTCAGGGAATTGTAAATTGTGCGAATGAAGTGTATGGTAGACTACCAGATGACCCTGCAATTACACGACACTTCAACAAGGAGTGGGAGAACTCGGTGAGTACATTACATTTATGCGTCATTTTCATCCTGTTAATAATAACACATTCATCCAGCCATCTGTTGAGCATGTCAACATCTGGACCCTCCATATTGTGATTGGATGGAATCATATGAGGGCATGCCCCACTAATTTGCAAGACTACCAAATTGACACATTTGACAAGCACTTAAGGCATTGAGAATGTCAGGCCACTAAATACTTTTTATGGTGCTAGAACTCAGTGATGATGGGTGGGGGGGAGAGGACTCATACACCCACTGGTTTGTCTCTCAAAACATTCAAAATGGCTGCACAAGTTTTTTGTTTCTGTATCTACCCCCAGATTCGGGTAATATTATGTAAATTCCATCAGCTTCTTATTTTATTTACTGTTAATATTATTTGTACTTTTTGTTTTCAAGATATTCAACATAACTAACAAGATTCTAAGGAAAGCTGAAGATGATAACATCACACCAGTAGAAGCAGCCAATGAGATTGCAGATAAGTTGAGCCGCGATCTTCATCCTATTTGGCCGAACCGAAGCAAACAAATTATCAAGTCACTGGTAGATAATGAGTGGCATTTGAAGGCTCTTGTATAATGGGGTGTCATGTTGATGATGTCATCAATTTGTTACTGTGATGCATGCTGGGCATGGTAAATGCTGGTTGTGTTTATATACATAGGTCATTTCATTTCATTTCTTTATTCGACCAAAAAAAAAATACTCTACAAGAATTAGAACAAACAATAAAACAAATGGTCAGGAAAAACTAAAGCGACAAAAGTCGCTATGACTCAGGAGTCAGTAATTCCAACATAAAATAAATCTATATATTATATACAAGACATAAAATACAAATAAAATAAGACTTCAAAATGGATAATAGTCATTAAAATGAAGGTTAAAATTTTAAAATTAAGTAATAACATACTTTATATAAGAAACTGACACATTGCCATAATTGTTTTAAAAAGGTTAAAAAGTGCAGTACATTTGATTTGATAGTGATGTTGATAATAATAATAATAATAATAATAACAATAAAATACTTTTAACCCTAAAACCCTAATTGCAATAAAGAGACTTCCTGAAGTTAGAAATAAAAGTCAGCAAAGGAAAGGTTGCTTACACCTGATGAATAGCAAGGCTTGCTTAAGTCCCTTGCATATTTATTTAGGCTTTGTTGTTGGCTTTGAGATTTTCAAATGCTGAACATTAATTTTATATTTTCTAACAATAATACAGAATTAATTGACCTTAGACCTAGTGAAAAGCAATGCTTGTCTTGATCTATTGAGTACTACGTTGTTATGTCACGATACCGCGTGATACTATTCCGTTGCTATCAGCGACCAAAAATGCACTCATCAGGATCCTTGTCTCCACTGACAAACCATTGATTTCAATTTCTAACGTAAATTATTATTATTATGTTGCATCTTAATTTTTCTTTGTAAATTTTAATTGATGATTAAATATAACTTTGATAACTAATACTGTATATGGTAAGCTTTTGTGTTTTCTAAACCATTATGATTATGAAGTCATTTGAGGCTTGTTGTGGCAAAATGGCTTAGTTGTAGCAAAAATTGAAATTTAAGTTATTGGTATTTTCAGATACCTGAGTATGTGATCTTTAAAATGAGGGGTCATTCATTCAAATTGGACATTTCAAGCCTAAAATATTGGAAAGTGAAAGTACAGCACTCTTAGAGTCAAGATAAACATGAGTTTGAGTAATTGCCTTTCAAAGTTATTTGTGCATACATTGTTTAATAGAATTAACTATCTAAATAACATTAAATAAACAATTTTTTGACCACTTCCAGAACTAATACTTTGGGACATGAGTAATAAGACATTAAACTGTTGCTCTATAGTGAAAAAAAATTTGGATTTTCAGGCAATTTTTTGAGCTCCCATATTTTATAGCTCATTTACTCAATACTGGCCTGTGCGACAACTTAACCATTTCGCCATGACGTGCTTCATTTAGGCATAATGACAGCTTGACAAATGTCTGGTTAACAACAAAGAGCTGCTTTGTACTTTATAGGAAATTACTTGCCAATACCTAGTTGTGAGCCAGGTTTGCATAGGCCCATGGAAAGCAGTGATTTAGGCCATAGAGAAAATAGAACAAATAGAACTGTTCTATTTCCTCTATGTTTAGGCCAACTAAAGAACTAGACTTGTGTAGGCCTGTAGGCAGCTGAGGCAATTATATCAACATTAATTGCTTGGCCACTATGAATATGACATTCAATTAATTTTAGGGACCTACAGTCAGAATAAATACTTTCCCCATAATGCATTGCAGTAAGCATGACTAGCCACACTATTGCCAATCACAGATAAATTTTGTTTTCTGTAAAAATCCAATGTTGTTTTATATTTGTTGTTATAATTGATATTATTGAGAGGTGCACTTCTATTTGATCTTTATTTAACCATTCAGGGAATGTCTAATTAAATATTTAAATTTTATTAAGAATCTTGAATTGGGGTTGTGATAATTTGTTACTATTTAAGCTGAAACAGTCATGTTTTAAAGTAGGTGGTAGCATGGTGTATGCAAACAGAAAATAATTGATGTGTATTTTTATAGAGTGATGTGATATATAGAATATTGTATGTAGTTGTAGCAGTTGTGTCAACTATGTTAAGTAGTGCAAGCAAAAAAATGCAAAGGATTTGATGCTGTAATGACCCCAATGTAAATGGAACAGTACTGAGATGACCTTTAACCTGTGTATTTTTGCCAACTAGGTCTGTACAATAATAGATGTATAATTATCTATGTTACTCTGCTGAATATAAAACAATGCAAATCATTAGGTAATAATTTTTGCCAGCATTTAAATTACATAGTATTGTACATGGTCTTCTGTGGAGTGGATGAGATTAGCTAGTAATGCATTGTAAGAAATAAGAAAGAAACTATCTTCCAAAAGAGAAGTTACATTGCTTGCAATAAACAATTTCTTAACCAACTGCAAGTAAAATCAAATTTGAAATCATTAGTATTGGAATAGTAGCAAACATATTTGAAATTATAAAGTTTTTTTTTATTGGCAATATTGTAATTAGACTAGGGTATTGTCTAATGAAGGAGATAAAAAAATAGTATAGAAATATGAAGGGAAGATTGTATTGTATACTGTCTGTTTGAAAATGTCATGCCTTGTTGGTGCGCCTGCAGCAATCTGAAAAAGATGTGCACACTGCAACTTCATACTTAAATAGGAATGTGCCCGCTGCAAATTTGTATCAAATTGAAGCATAAAGCAACTGTTCCCATAGCTAAATATTGGGGTGTTATGATGATGTTTATGTACTAAGCAAGTAGACTAAATGCTGTTCTCGGTCTATACACAGATGTATTTTAACTAGGCTGTTGCCTAGTGATGGAGATTACTGTAATCAGGATGTTGGCTAGTGATGAAGGTGCATTGTAACTAGGCTGTTGCCTAGTGATGGTGTATTTATTGTAAGTAAGTTGTTGCCATTGACGAGATATTGTAACTAGGGTGTAGCCTAGTGCTGGTGATATATTGTAACTAGGCTGTTGCCTAGTAACATAGATATATAGTAACTATGCTGTTGCCTAGAGATGGAGATGTATTGAAACTAGGCTATTTCCTAGAGACCACCAGTGTTTTATTTTCCTTGGTCATTTTGTCTAATAATTGCCATGATATATTGTAACTAGGAAACTTCCTTTAGTGATGATATTCAATAGACCTTTCCGGAGTGTCAATCAAACTTAACAACTGACTAATCGGAACAACGCTAGAAATACGCGCGCGTCTCACAAACACACGTGTTGTCCCACAAACGCACGTGTTCGCGTATGTTTTAACACTGCCGTCTTGTGGGACCTTAGCAACAAAATCCAAGGGGCGGAGCTTAGCGGAAAGGTCTATTGTGTCAAGTCTGATGAGGATATTTATTGTAACTGGGCCAGTAGCTGGAACTAGTGTAAATAAAGTTCTTTATGTAATAGGGTTGTTGCCTAGCAATACAGGCTGTTGCCTAGCAATATAATGCATCATAATGTTGTTGCCTAGGTTACTGTTGCACAGTGATATGGTACATTGTAAGAAGACTGTTACCTAGCTGCTGTTGCCTAGTGATGCAATGCATAATAAGGTCGTGGCCCGGTGTTACTAATGTTAGATATAACAAGATTAAAACTTCAGTTAGCTTCACATATAATATTAAAATATACTGTAGTTCATTAAACATACTGTAACAAGATTTTGTCTGGAGTATCTGATTTATTATTGTAAAAAAAACAATATTGCCAAAATACTTCCTCTGTTGGCTAGTGATGCATTATGATGAGGCTGTTGCTAAGGTTATGAGTGTTGTCTAGCAACGATGATGCATTGGCGTACGTGATGTGCATCTGCATGGCGGTAAAGTTTAAAATATAAACCTGAATGGTATCTGATACAGTTGAGCATATGTGGCAAAGACAAGCCAAACCAGTCACTCGTAGCAAAAATCGATTTTGTGTTATTAATACAGTGTTAGAGAGTAAAATAATAGCTATAAAATAGTAAAAAAAAATCATTCAAATCGGACATTTATTTATGAAGTTACAAGCATTTAACCACACAGCTGTTTAAAGAACAATATATGAGAAATCAGCCTTTAAATTTATGATTTCAGGCATTTCTCATGCAGAAACTATCTTTAAATGCTTAAAAAGTGTTGTTTTAACATTGAAAATGGGGAAAATAACAGCATAGGATGGTGTATAGATATATAAAGGTTAGTTTAGTGCAATGAAATACCGGTAGATTTGTTTAAATTTGACATTTTAGCATGTTTTTGCCATTTTCTCTGAAACACGATTTGCGACGAGCGGTTTGGCTTGTCTTTGCCACATATTGGTGTCAGAGGCTAATATCTTTGACATTTTGATCTAGAATCATGAATTGAAAACATCTTAGCTGAACAAATTTATGCCTTGTCATGTATGGCTCACTATCATTAATATCAGATATAATATGCGACATGATATTGAAAACTAAAAGTTACATTGACGTAGTAGAGTTTATTGACCAAAGGTAAACGAATTTTTGTTTGTATACGTAAAGGAATGGTCCTATAAATGCCTTTGTGAATAGGCTTAACAACTAACCAATCAGAACAGCGTCCAAACACTCCCATGTGCCACGTTCCTCTCAAGCAAGTTTTGAGTGACTTCAACAAAATGTCCAAATGGCGGCCGCGGGGCTTAGCAGTGCAGTTAACTATAGACATCGGAACACTCTTTATAGTCACATTATTTTAATGTGAGTCTCAAGTCATTGTTGTGGTCATATACAATACAGTATAATTGAAAATATATTTAAATATAAAATATCACGTTTTTATTTATGGTAACCCTCAATAATTTGATGATTTCAATGAAGACTTTCAGACGTTTCGAGCTTAAACCTTTTTCAACCCCTCCCCCGTCCCCACCAGGCTGGCGCCACCCCTGCTTGGATCTCATTGTCCTTTATATTCGCCAACGTCATCAACTCGGCTTTGATTTCATTGGTCGTCTTAGACTCAATAAAAACGATGAAAATATCTCTTGCCAGTAGCCGAGAAGTGCCCATCCTGGAGCATACGTTAGCGTTATAAGTCCCATGAAGTTGAGTGGTCGATCACTGTAATCCCACGAACAAGCGTCAAATTGCCTTAATATCAAACCAAAACTGAACTCTATTATAAATGCAACCAGCACGTACAGAAAAATACGTATAACGCACGGAACATGGCGTGCTTGTAACCGTAGAAATAGACTCTCGATTATTGAACTCCCGGTTCCGTAAATGATGAAGGAAAATAGCGAAGTGTAGCCGATGAAACGGGGATCGAAGCTTTCGATTACCAATTGATACAAAGCTGTGAAGACGATCTCGTCAAAAAAACCATGCATTCCGTAAGCGAGGAAACGATGTAAAAATGAAAGCGGTCGTAGTTCAACATCGGTGCTCGCTATTGATGGCGATAAACGTTTCCTCATATCGACGTGTTAGTCTAATGTATTAAATAAAAAATTAGCAATTAATTATGGTAATACATCAGATTATACAATAAAGTAAATACATATATGAATATACTGTATTGTATTTAACGACTTGATCCACAAAACACTAGTTCACATTAAAAGAGATCTTATGAATATTAACACCTTTGTGGCGGCTGCGAAAATAACAACTGACACAAAAACATGTACATTATAATTATATATATATATATATATATATATATATATATATATATATATATATATATATAT